GACGTTTGGCGTCGGATTGACAATAAGATACATTTCCTATCATTAGGATTATTCGTTATACTTAATGATATTAAAATACCTATTTTAATGAAAAACATATTATTGTCCGATATTAGTACCTTCTGTCGGACGTATCTTCATACAGTGTAATATCAATAAAGTATCATTAGCTGACCAATACTTAGACAGTGATTATATTCATGTATAATTAAAGAAAATCAATTAAAAACTAGCATACCAGCTTGAGTACGGGTATAATTAAGAAAATACAAATCACTGGATAAATAATTAATTAATTCGAAAAATATAATTGAACATCCCCCTCTTATAATAAAGAAAAATTACACCGATAAGTTACTACAAATGAATCAGTCGTACTTGAATCGCCACAAGTAATACTTGTCTGTCTGCCCGTGTTCTACTCTTAAAAATTTACCAAGTAAATTTAACATGGCTAGTTCAATCGCCGACAACTACGCTGCAGTATACAAAAAGTTTCGATACGTCGCGCCCGAATCTCCGAGCAATCTCATCGATCAAACTGGATTCAACATTGACTTTCAGAATCGTAAATTTATCAACATTGGCTTGGACCCGGCAAACGATTTCAACGTTTATATTCATATTATAACGCCATCACGCTACGTTAGTATTTCTCCAGATTTTTTAAAACGGATTTATTCCTTGATGGGACACATTTTATCATTCGTATTATCATCAACGAATAACAAACAACAAACATTTTTGGAGACAGACTCTATGCTACTCACTAGTATGTTATATCGAGGTAAGAGTGTCCTAGTCATAGAAGATAAATCTATAGCCGGATGTCGTATTCTTCTGAATCGAGTGGATATTATGGCTTTGCAATATTTGGAATGGGTCATTTCCGAAACAATTTTGAAGAAAACACTATTTGTTCAGAATAAGGTTGTTGCTCAGTTTGAACAAATGTGTACATACTTTAAAAATGAGTTTAAAAGAGAACAAAACATTCATAATATGATTACAACAATAAAAAATGTAAGCGATGATTTGATTTCAAGACATTTACCGAAGAGTGATTACAGTTTTGTCAATCAGATAAAACTTTTTGCAACAAAGCAGATAGCAGAGCGCTGTATTATTAAGATTGAGGTATTTGAAATCATAATTTTTAAAATTTAATTTAAATACTAATACATATCATTTTTTTAGGAACATGTCGAAACACAGATTATGACATTATCTCCGCCACCGTCACCCGATTACGTATTCAGTGATGCCGAAGAAATCGATGGGTCTTTTATGTCGCGTATGAAATCAACCAAGCCAAAGGCAAGATATATTTTTTTAATGTAATATTTTAATAATAATAATATTATTAATTTTAGG